TCATTTAAATTAGGACTCTATTATTTGATTGGAATTTAAAGGAAACCACAGAAAATGATAGATATAGTTCGAGATATCCTAACTTTTAATACCGTATAGTTTTGAATCCTGAAGCCTACATCTCCCATAATGCAACTCGATAGCATTAGACTTTTACTGTTTGGAAAACGCCCATGTCTTTAACATGCAATGCCTGAGTTTGTTAGGCACATTTCCTATTATATATTTGTTACCACCAAGCCAAGGTCGAGATCATCATTTGGGTTATTTTTGACTTGAGAGTACTCCCAACAGAGCCATTATGCAGCTGTTTTTGCAGTATCAACCACGACAAGTAAACCTGGAGCTATTCCTTTAGAAAATAACCCAATAACTGAAAAAACAACAAGGCCTTACTAATATCCAGCTCAGTGGCTGGTTCTAAGGACTTTGTCAGAGCCTAGCACACACATCTCACACATCAATGAAAAGAACAAAAGGGAGGGGGCCGCACTAGGATCTCTAATCCTTCCCCCACTTTTTATAATGGCAGTGCCAAAGGGTGGCTTCCTTGGTTCAGTTCAATTAAGTGTTGCAAGAATGAGTCCTAAACTCAGAAACTAGTCAGCATTTCAATTTTTTTTAATTAGTCTATTAGTCGAACCTCCATGCTCCGTCCGTGCGGTGCGCTGTGACTCATGGCTTTCTACATGTAACACTTATTAAATATTTAAAAGGTACATTATTTCAGTTTTATTTTATATTGTATGTGAAGCACAACGTACCATGCTGATATAATAACGTTATTTGTCACCCTTTAAAACTGAAACCATTTTGGGAGATAAAAATAAATAAATAATATTAATAATCATAATTTATCATATACGTGTAACGATTAGTCGACCAATTGCCTAAATTGACGACGATTGGTCGACTAGAAACATCTTTAGTTGAGGGCAGCCCTAGTGTAATGTACTAATACTTTCCTATAATAGCTTCCTTACAGACTCGCACGTATACAGTGAGCGCTGCTAGAGAGGTCAGTGTGCCAGCTGGGCAGCGAGTGAACCTTTGCACACGTTTAAACACACACAGGCCCCATAAACAGATGGCCTCGCACACACACACACACCAAACACACCTACATGCAGGAGATAAAGGTATGTTGTTAACACATGACCAAAAGTCTCTTGGCTAGCTACACTCCTTTATAGGCCATCATGTATGTATATGGCGCATTTCCATTGCAGCGCGTAGCTCGCTTTAAGCGTGCCGTGTCGTGCCGTCCCCTTTTTTGGTTGTGCTTCCACTAGGCCTCGTTCCGGCGCGGCACGGCGCGGGGCCACTTTTTCCCCTCTTTTCTGGCCCTAGAAAATTGTGGTTCTATCGGGGCCAACAAACAGGGCTGAGTCGGGCTGAGTATGCTAAACTAGAGAGAGGAGCGCTGGCAAGAGGGCTAGAACTACAACAAGATGGACATATTTGACCGTGATTTAATTGTAATACACGTTTCAAAATGATGCCGAAGTAACAACATACTGATACCGGTTAGTAAAAACCATGAATTAATGCTTTGTCAAGTCTGCAGACAGACGGCAGGCGAAAAACCTTTTAAAATTCGTGTTTTTCTAGATGGAGATTGGCTAAGCTAACGCAGTATATGCCCCGACCGTCCACACTCACAACAACGGCCTATACAGACATAAATACAGCAGCGACTGTATTCACCATGACACAGGCAGTCTGTGGTGTGTACTTGTTTAACTTTTGTCGAGTTTCTGAACATATATAAGGAGCTGTGAGCTCTGAGTGCTCACAGCTAACGGCTGTGTTGTGTTTCTGGATTTCTCATTGAAGATGACGTCACGGCTCCGCCTACACTGCGTTACTATAGTAACTACCCCAGTTCCTAAACTGTAATGGAAGCGCAGCATGAAGTGAGTCGGCCCTGTTAAGGCCCAACGCGGCCAAGCCGTACCGAGCCGTACCGAGTGTGGCCGAGGCCGACCGTGTAGTGGAAATGCGCCAATAGACAACATACACAACCCAGTCTTTCACATGTTTCTCTTGCTAAACATCCTTTAAACTTGCATTTTCTACAGTATTGTAAACAGCGCTTCATATTACCACTGACTGATCACATTCAGTGTTGTAACAAACACACACACACACACACACACACACACAAACACACTGCAGCTCAACATACACAGCATGAAAACCAAATCTAATCAACTCATCTCTGTCTCTCTTACTCTGAGGAAGGCAAACACACCCACACACACACAATTGGTCACTTGAGCACGCTCCAGATGTTCAAAGCGCTGTGAAAGAAAATGCAGTTAAGGGCTTTCCACTGCTCTGATGCGGTTCCGGAAATAGCAGAGCGTCTCTGAACAGGAACGTAAAGGCTTCCCTACAGGGCGATGTCCACCACTTGAAAAGCAGCTTCCCACTCTATAATATCAGATTCCCTTTGAATAGAAGGACTAACACTAGAACATATTGTGAAAAATACACGTAAAAGGCTCAAATGGCACCACTACAGCAATTATTCCAGTTTACAAAGACAGAAAGGTTCTCCTGCATTAGTTGAACATGTGTGCCAGGTCTATGACATCATCACAGGGGGAGGGGGCGTTGCACACCATCATTTTCTTTTTTAAGGCACATTGCATCACAATGATTTATACACTGAAATTGGTTGGCCCTTAAGAATCATGCAGAGCGTATTCAATCAAATGATACTTTTTAAACAGTTAACAGAGAATGTTGTCTGCCAGATGCAGTCTCAACAAATCATGTATAAGCAAGAATAGCTCCTAGGGTGTTCTAAAACAGAAACACGGAGGTGGAATAATTGAAACAAGTAAGCGTGGTGTGAACAAGCTGAAAGGAAATTGGCTCTCTTTCTGTCAGGAAATACTGTCAACTGAATAGTATACACCCATCTTTTGCATAATAGCTGGAATAATAGTATAATATTGGTGAGCCTTAGTGAACTAACAAAGCCAGATATTAATATTATTTTTCATCACTCTAAATCACTTAATGTGTGATTTCCTACAGTGAAATGAAATCAAGAGTGAAGTTGCTCCCAAGGTAATGGCCTATCATATACAGTATATGCTTAATGAACCCACTGGGAGCATTGGTCAGTGTGCAGAATGTGCTGTGCTGCTGGAATGACCATTAACAGCTGAGAATCAGGCTCATCTGGATCCAATGAATCGTGTCCTCATGTGATATGTCATATAAGACCACTACCAAAGCCTATTATCGGCTAAAACGCACTCAGCTGTCTGTAAAATGAAGCAGCAGAGGAGATTCAAGAGAAACCATATGTCACCACTGCCCGGATTACAGATAAAATGACGGAGAGGGGTTAAAGTACAGTACGGTTCTGTAAATCCTGTAAATATATTATAGGATTATTGCAATGATATAGTAAATACAAAAATACTATTAAAGTCGCAATGAATTTTACACTAAGCACCACAAATAAGTCCCTATAGAAGTATGAGAGGACACTGTAATGATACCGCAGGAGGAAAAAAAGACAACTTTAATTACTGCTAAGTGCCACAGGTACACATAATGTCTCTACAGGGGTAAGGCAGGAGCACTGAGGTTGGATTTTATCAGAGCCCTATGGGATAGCTATATTAGTAAGAAGACATTAGACACAGACACCAACAGGCCACATGGTACTAGTTCTGTAACGGTACAGGATGTTCTATCATCCTTTCCTTTCCTTTTTCTCAAACTGTATCCTAACACCGTTCAACTGAAGTCGCGTATATCTGTGGCTAAACTTCATATATATTATGTATGACAGAATCACCCAAATATGTCAATTAGCTGAGTGAAAGAAGAAAAAAAACCTACTTAATGGCAGGACCCACTCCCTCTGAGCAGTCAGGCAGACCATAACCCCAAAACCGAGGTACATATTGAATCAATAATTGTGTTTACCATTAAACCTTTTTAAAAAGTATTGTTTTTCACGACCAATAATCAAAAAACCAAAAACATCCAGTTGGCAATAATTGTACACACAAGAACACAGTAAGTCATCACATTATAGAAGCTGGACCCATAAGCCTTTGGTACAATTGCTAAAAAGAAAATACTAAAACGATACAGCCTAATAGATTCTCTAAAGAGATGTCAAATATTTTCCTCCCGAAACAACAAATCAATAAAAGGATTGTATAGCATACTGTACAGTAACACTGTCGTGGCAGAGTAGGATTTGGTCACCCAGATTTTGTCAGTAATGATCACTCATTCGGGAATATTATTGTATATACATTTTAGCAGCATTAAAGTGAACAGTGTGTACAAGTGTGTAATGTGAGGTTGCCTCCGCACCTGAGTCCGAAGGAGCAGATGTGGAGGAGGAAATCAAAGTAAATCAGAGGCGGTGTGATCCTGCCCTTGAGCATTCATATCCTGACACTATGTGATATTGATTAAAGATTGCCCCTGTCCAAAACCCCGTTACCAATACTGAAACAAAGTGTGTGAGCATAACAAAGGAGAGAGTTTAAATGGATTATTGTCGTGACACCTTCAATTTGCTACAAGAGTACTATATATTTCCAACATGACCCGGTGAAATGGCCACACGTCAATTTCTGAACCATCTAACTTAAGCAAAGTTGGTTAGTTTACTTATCTTTGCAGCTTTAATAGACACATATTCTAATGAGAACAGTCCATATCATACAACCATAGCAGTAGAGATATTCACTACACATACTTTTTTCCCTTCACCCAATTTAGTACATGACTCCGCCCACATAGAGCAACATCAGATGTTTGACAAGGTCAGCCCGGGTTAATGTTTGGGCTGCTATAGGGTCAACAGTCATGCTTTTTCAAGAAAAAAATCATGACATAGAATGACGGTGCTGTGTGTGTGTGCGTGTGTGTGTATGAGAAACAGAAAGAAAGAGTGTGAGAGGGACACACATCCACTCCATAGGGTTATTAGACAGTGCTTTTTAGAGACTTACTTCATCTGTTTGACGATGGTGCTTTTCCCTGACTCTCCAGCCCCTGATGGATAAGAGACAAGAAGACAATGTAAACAGGGTGTGTGTGGGTGTGTGTGTGTGTGTGTGTGTGTGTGTGTGTGTGTGTGTGTGTGTGTGTGTGTGTGTGTGTGATGGAGACAGAGTGAAAGAGAGGAGGGGTGGGAAAGAGAGTGAGAGAGAAACAGGGAGAATCAGCCTCCTAAAAACCTAAATGAATATGAAGAGCAGCAGCAGGGTGGAGATTAAAAGATGGAGAATTGGCTGCACCCTTTCTTCCTCAATGTGCTTTCCTTTTATTATTCATGTTCCTTTCTATCCACCATCTACCATCTTTCTAGTAAGTCAATCAAATACATAATTCTACTTAAAGGCTAGTTTCCCCACAGAGAATCAATCTCCCACCCCAAACCAATGATACAACACTGCCTGTGCTTGGGCCTCCACTGCTGCATAATGCCATTTTAAAGGCCCCCAATCGCTAGGTATCATAGATTGTCCACCTTGTACCCACTGATTCTTCAGAATTACAGTTAATCCACCTCTTTAATAAGAAAACCCTACCATAGCAGGTTGTTTCAAAGTGATGTAATGAGCAGACAGGGTGTGTTTAGTATGGAGAAGGAAGCTAATCAATGCCCATGTATGGGATTTTGGCGTTGTTTTAATATCTTATGAGGGATGTCATGTCTTTATGTATGTCCAGAACAATCTTCAGTAATGGATGGTCATCTTTTACCAGATGCTCACCCCCCCACACCTTTCATCACCCCCGAAGCGTTTCATTTCTGCCGTGGCACTACAGGCCCTACTGTGAGCAATGCAACTCTTACCGAGCAGCAGCAGTTTGACATCTTTGGCCATGGTGACTCCGTCCTCCTTCAGGTTTTTCTCGATGGCTTTGCTCCGATCCAGAGCCGCCCTTTCCTCTGCGCTCAGAGTACATCCCATGGTTAGAGAACACAGCTTGAAAGCGTAACCGAAACCTTGATCCAGAGAAAATTAAAGCAATGAAAGTGTGGATTGAACGAAGCGTGTGCGCGGAAACAACGCTGTTTGCAAATCCGTTTTTTCTTTTTTTTGGTTGATTTCCTCCTTTTCTGCGCGGTGTCTTCGATCCCTCTTCCTCTCGCTCTCTGGGCAGCTCCCTCTCGCTCGCTCTCAAGCCAGGGGTACGGCTCCGTTAAAGCATTTAAATCACTTTGATCCACGGCGCGAATACAACTCGTTGTAGCCACCGCAGTTTCTCAAACGGGGTCTCGGTGGTGGGCTGTCCGTCCGCTCGTCCTCCGTCTCTCTTCGGTGTAAGTGTCGGTAAATCACGGTAACGGTTTTCTCCGCTCGTCGACAGTAGGCTCTGTGTTACTCGGCTGCGGCTCGCATCGTTTGATTCCAGCACTGCTTCTCACGGCGGCGCACAGCGTACCTTCCTCCGTGTAGCTCCTCCGAGGCTGGCGGCGGGGACTCGCTCTGTAACTCTACTGCCTCCCGGTAGCTCCGGTAGGGGCTCGGTCGTCCGTTAGTTCATTCGTTCAATTGCAGGTTGCTGACGTCAGAACCGTGAAAAGAGAGAAGTGGGGAGAGAGGGAGCATCAACTGGAAGTGGCGCGGCCTGGTGGTTCAAAGTAGGCTTCCTTTAGAAGCGTTTTGTCCCAAAATTAGCTATATCAAACAGGTAGAAAGATATTAAACGCCGGTTAAATTTGGTTTAAAAATATAATTTAATTCTCAAATCACGTCATGAGATTACACAAAGTAAATGTGTAGGTTTTAGCTTAAAGTTCCTGATCTGCGCATGGATATATCGATTCTAGACCTGCGGTCACAGGTGTGTACGTGACTCAGCCAATTAGAGTTTAGTAGGACATGAACAAATAGACCAAGATGTGTTACAGACATTATAATCCACGAAACTCAAAGCCCACTATCTTTTTGTAGAATCAAATGGATAGGAACATATTCTATACGGTTCACAAAACAAAAGGTTTATTCAATCTGTCTCAAAGTGGTCAAATGTAGCTTCTATCAGGGCCGGCTCCAGACAATTTGCAGCCCTCGGCGAGATTTGAGCTGGCGCCCCAGCCAGAGAATCGTACAATAGAAAAGATAAAGATCAATAGAGTATCCAAGGAATACACAATAGAATGGGGGGTGGACGTCACATCCTCTAGGGGGGTCCGGGGGTATGCCCCCCCGGGAAGAATTGTTTGAACATTTTAAAGTAAAATGCTTCAATCTGGTGCACTTTGAGCAGAATTACTATAGATCTAGGTGTAGGCCTACAACTCTAATCACCCATATGAAAAATATCGGTTTACATTTTATTAATCAAATAAGTATGTGAACATAACCAATAACCTACCATAGCCAATAACAAATACATTTTTGTTGTTCTTTCATATCTTATTTTACCTAGTTAACATTTATTTATTCGTGCATATTTTTTAATCTCTCCAGTTTAAAACGATATTTTTGGTTTACTGTCCTATTACATTGAAATGATTTCAAACCTGTTTATCCCAATAATTATAAAGGAGTGCCTTGGAAATATTTGTTTACATAAATTGTGATCAAACCGTTTGAGACCCACTGAGATCACTTAGACTAAAGTTAACTATCTAAACACTCAGTCCTGTACCTCACTGAGCTGTAGTTATCAGCCCCTCAGTCTGACAGGAGAGGACTCTCCCTCCACATTATTGTAGAAACATCTTCTTCTTATATCCGTTAGAGCAGCTAGCACCAGATTCTAATAACAACAGCGCCGGTACCGGTGCTCTCTCCCTCGCTCGCTCCCACGCTCACTCGCACTTTGGCTGTGAGCTGCGGGCGCCAGATAAGCCAACATCCCCCATTTTCATCACTTACAGCGCCCAACGTACAGGGCAAATGAAAAGTGTAACCAGGGTGAAAAGGGTGTTACATTTACTTAAAGGTCCCATGTCATGCTTTTCCGGTTATTACCAGTCCCCTTGTGTGTTATGAAGGTTTTTATGCATGTAAACGGTCTGCAGAGTCAAAAACCCTCAAAATACACCCTGTAGCGAGTAAAACTCTAACACAGAAAATACCTCCCCAAAACGCCTCGTTGGAGATTTCTCATTTTCCATTGTTTACTTCCTGGGTACTGTGACGTAGGAATGGCCAGTAGCCACGCCCAGAGCTATGGCCGCACCCTCTGCCAGCCTTTCACGTAACAAAGCTTCCCAAAACCTTTCAGGATTCATGCCGGATATGTACAGCGTAGGGCACTGAAGAACGATGCTGTTCCTACTTTGTTTGGACCAGCGGGAGTTCGGGTACACAACCTGTAAGTATTCATTGTTGTTTGTGTATTTATGATGTTTAAAACAAACAAGGTATCTACCACGACTGTTTAAATGGGTAAACGTTTTTCGGACTATTACGTTGAAATGCTCTCCGCAGACCCATGCTCACAGCGTTATAAACCTTTTTCTTACTCAATATCAAGCCACACTTATTGTTTTTACTTCGGCTGTGAGTGTTTGTGTGTGCTCAGGATGAGTTTCGCTTGTTCTAGCTTTATCGCCAAGCCTGTCTGCTCCTCCAGCAGTGTGTGTGGGTGTTTCTCAATCGCGAGTAAAGCTGCTGCAGAGCCACTATTTCAAGCATACTACGTCATCGAGTGCCGCCGAAGTACTGTTCCAATCTCCAGCATACTTGGAAATCTACCGAGCCCGGCGTACTCCGTTTGGAGAAATATCGAGGCTGCACATGTGTAGACTCCGCGGTCTTAAAATCCCCACAATGCTTTGCACACGGACCCATTTCCAAAATCTGTGGCGGAAAATGTAAGGCGGGGCCTATCATATGACGCACACAAATACTCATAGACAGTATACTCCGGGTGATTTACCGTACGGTCAGTACATTATAGTTGGCGTTCCTGGCGTGTATGCTACCGAGCTACCGTTCATAGCGTGTATGCTACATAGCTAAACAACAAGGCTACCTAGAGCTAGACATGCTAGGGAAAACATTGTTTTCATGCCAGCTACAATGAATGACCGAACGTAGCAGACTACCCGTATAAGATTGCAATTGTAAACATGTTCTTGCTAGCCTAGACTAGCTGTTGTTCATAGTAGATTGGCATATTACACTGAACAACTAGCAAACGTAGGTTAGCATATTAGCTGGCAAGCTAACTGTGTTGATTAGATAGATAGATTAGATAGATACACACTCCTACCACAACTACTACTAACGAATCTAAAACAACTAAGTTTCTCTAATATTTTGTGATTTACATTTGATTTCGTCCAGCCAGATCAGGAAACTCCTGGCGTATCTGGCGGACAACACACACACGGGATGACCACTCTGATGCCTCGTCCTAAAAAGCCGATAGGCAAGATGCCGAAAACGCCTATAAGGGGAGGAATGGATGATATACAGCAGGGGTCGGCAACAGGCGGACCGCGGTCCGGATCCGGACCCAGACGCCGACCTATACGGACCCGGACCTATAATCAATACATTAATAGGGGATTTCAATTTTGACGGGGCGATTCTATTTTAACCGCCGCCGACAGGGGGCGAAAGAGACGAGTGAGCGATACAGGGAGAGAAACACAGAAGAAGAGATGAGAGCGCGGCAGAGAGAAGCGGAGAGGAAAGTGAGTAAAGAGAATAATTAGCGATACAGGGAGAGAAGACGGAGAGGAGAGTGAACAGGCGTGTTAGCGGCAGACAGGGAGAGACAAATAATGACACATGGCGCTCTCCAAGAAGAGGAAAGTGAGAACAGAGCTTTTAACCCTGAGTGGACTCATTCATGTTCATCCGGCCCACTGGGAGCACAGAGCCAGTGTGTCTCATTTGTTCAGAGACCGTGGCGCTCATTAAAAGTGCCAAAATGCCACTTTGAGACAAAACACAAAGTGTTTGACCAAACATTCCCTCTCAAGTCAGGACTGAGGTCACAAAAAATAAGCAGTCTCAGAGCCCAATATGATCAGTCCACCAGGATCAAAATTAAAACTAAATATCGTTCCAGGGCAGGCTAACCGAGGCTAACCAATGAGCACCTGCATGTGTGAGAATGGCCCTGACACCATTTCAGCCCAGATTTAAACTCCTGGCAGGACAAGCTCAAGCTCAATTCTCGCACTGAATTAAAAAGAAGTGAGTGAGGGACTGCAATATAAGAGGGAAAGAAAGAGAAACTTTAAAACTGTTCAATTGTTATGATGTGTAAAGACTGATATTGTTCTATAATCGGCTGAAACTGTTAAGTCATGATGTGAAACGGTTAACAAAGAAAAAGGGAAACGCAAGCTGCTGCTACACTTTATTTTATTTATCTAAAATTAAGCACTTTTTAAGATGCACACATTTTCAAAAGCTATTTTATTTCTTTTCTCTATTTTATTTTTAAATGCAGCCCCGAGAGGAACATTACACATATCCACAGTATTTACTGTATATCTGTATAGTTCAATGTTCATTGACAATAAATATTGTTGTTTTTTAATTGTACTTTCTTTATTTGATTGGCAGTCAGTTGTTGATTACATGCAGACGTTGATACAGCTACAGGCTACTTCAATATATATCACACTAATTCATAAAGCAACTTAGACATTTTGATGTTCCGGACCTTTGCATGGGGAGATTTTCTCTAACTGGACCTCGTTGAATTTTAGTTGAATACCCCTGATATACAGTGTATATATGTATATTTACACATGTTCATTTTGTACATTTCTAAAAATAAAGTTTGATGGAAATACTTAGTATCCTTTCTTCCCTGAATTATTTGCTCCTATAACATATCATTCATATATAGCAAACCATGATTTGATTTCTCATCAAACAGTAGTAGTTTATTACAGGTAAAAATAACTTACTCTTCTATAACAACAGTTGTAGGTACAGTTCGGTTAGTTAGCGTATAAAATATACGGCTGTACCGAGGCCATTATAAGACTGTTGTTCCGCTGAGAGCGAGCCGAAAAAAGCACTGTTAGACATGGGCGGAGCCTCTCTGGTGGTTGACTAATCAGAACAGAGTGGCCGAGCTGACCAATCGGAGCACACTGGGCTCACAGGGAGGGGGGGGCAAGAGCTGCAACGAGCCGTTTAGTGGAGAGAGTGAATACTACTGAATACACACACTTTACAGAGATGCTGTATGCGAAACCAATGTGAGTTTGGAAAAATGCACAGTATAAATCTATTTTAGTATACCTCAACAATGGAATTATGATCAGTGGAAATGGCCATGACATGGGACCTTTAATTATGAATATTGTTACATCAAGGCCAAAAATTAGGATGAGCACCAACAGTCAACATTTTTTATCTACCAGCGCAGCACCTCCCCAGATCTGGCGCCCTAGGCGAACATCTATAACGCCAGTGCTACGGGCCGGCCCTGGCTTCTATGATAAACATAATTATTCAAGTGTAATGCACTCTAATCTTGAGCTAGAATTACGTGTTCTCTGGCACATTATACACAACCATGGATGATGGATGATACAGCCAATGAATGCACACTAAAAATGTCAATATCTCCTATGTAATGGCCACATTGACACCCTTCACTAGA